CACCGCACCCAGGGGCTAGCAGGGAGGGGAGAGACCTTGCAGTGTAATGAGCACCGATTGGCTGCTCCCTGGAAAAAGGGGAATGTCCGGCTTATCCTTTATCCCTTTTGCTGTCAGAGCAGTTTTTGAGTTTTTTGCACAAGTTTAAAAAAAATAATTTTAGGCCTGAATATGACACAAAACCCCCAAACATGATATATTTTCTGAAAGCAGAGACTCAAGAGAATAAAATAGTGTTAGTTCCAATTTTTTATGTTGCATGATATTACCACAAAATTTCAATAAGTTTATTTTATTATAAAGCAATAAATTACCCTATTTTTGTGTAAAATATAAAATATGAGGTTGCAGTGAGTAAATAATTATCCAACTTGTCAAATCTTAAATTTGTGCGAACTCGTGAAATGGCGACAAACTTCAGTACCCTATATTTTCTATAGGTGACGCTTTTAAAGCCCTTATAGGTCATCAGTATAGTGTTTGGAGAGGTCTCATGCTAGAATTATTGTTCTCATTCTGGCGTGTGCGCCGATATGTGACATGTGTAATGCAATTGATGTTTTCATACGTAGGCGCCCCAGCGTGTACTTTTTTATATATGCGTATATGCGGGGGTAGGTGCCTACATATGGGGGGGGGGGGGGGGGGGGTGTTATGTGCTTTGGTGTAACTTTAAATTTTTAAAAATTAAAAAAAAAAAACTTTTTTTTTTCTTTTTACTTCATTTTTTTTTCAGTACATAGGGGGCAGAGTCTGCTATTTGATAATTTTTGGTGACAGGTTCTCTTTTTTGAGACATCCAAGGTCTAAGGTCTAAAAGACCTGGATGTCTCCCCTGTACTACACTGAATGTAATGTAGTGCACATCACACAGCATTACATTCTTTCCCAGCTTCCATGACAATATATAACCTCACTTCCGGGTCAAGACAAGAAGGGGAGGGGAGTGGGACATGTCTGCTTTCCTCCCTCCCCACTAGTCGACGGTGAGCTGGTCCCGGGCCCGCAGATGGGCAAGCGTAGCCTGTGAGACAGTGGGTGGGGGGAGGTTCACATGGGGGGAGGAGAGGCTGGCACTGTGTGGAAGCAATCGGCGGCAGTGCTAGCGCCCAAATAATAGTAGTGTAATCCTCCTACACTTCTAAATAAATAATATAATGATAAAAAAAACTAATAAGCTGCTGACAACCAATTTTTTTTTTTTTTTTATTGATTTTTCAAATAAATAAATTGTACAAACATACTCTTTTTTAAAAAACATTGACACATTTTCAGTACATGATGTACTGACACCCAATCTTATACCCATAAGTGATAGTACATAAAATGAATAAATATGTTGGTGTAGCGCTATTGCATAATATAAACCAAAAATATACACCATATAAATAATGATATTACATAAATATATAGTGATAAATCCAAAGTGATCTGATCCTCTAGGGATCTAAATGTGACACACCTACAAGTGACACAGAAATCGTGAAAAAACAAATTGGTCCCAATTGGTAGGTACCCGGTGACGTAGTTCTGGCGTGGACGCCATCTTGGCACACCTGAAACCCATGCAGGATTACACCCATAACATGTGGTTTGAATGCTTATCTGTATCTGTTACCAAGTGAGTGGGCAATTGGCGATTTTCTTTGCTTTTTTCATATAATAAATAGTATTACACTATGGAGGATCTTTCTCTTTTGTCATCATTATGATCCATTTGTGAGTTGACTATATTGCGGTACCTATATCTGGAGGAGAGCCTGTGATGTATAAGTGCCACCATTGATGGGGATTTTCTATGGATACCATCCACTGAGGAGATACTGACTGTGAAGGATCCTGGTGTGCTCCCATAGGCGCGTTTGGCCCAGTGGGTTGCGGTAAGGAGGTGAGGGGGCAATCCAGCCATTTAAGGATTTATATCATTGGCTTGAACGCACATTCACTGCATCACCTGCATGGTTTTGAATCATTGGATCACTTTGCTGATTTGCACTTTTTTGGACTTTTTATATATATTTATTTATGTATATTTCACTATACAGTATTTTTATTCATATTGGATTGCTTAGCTTTATATGTGCTTTATGATAGGGTGAAGTTTTTTACATCTGTATGTTTATTTGTGGTGTTTGAGCATGTATCACTTTATTTAGGAGGAATATCCCTCTTTTTTTGGGATTCACTGTATGTTGCACTTGGTCTATTTCATTTGATTCATCTATACTAATTAGGGATTTGGGGTTTTTGTTTGTTGTTTGTGTCATTTTGTTAATTTTGTCCTTTTTCACTATATTGGTTCCAATTGGGACCAATTTGTTTTTCACGATTTCTGTGTCACTTGTAGGTGTGTCACATTTAGATCCCTAGAGGCTCAGATCACTTTGGATTTATCACTATATATTTATGTAATATCATTATTTATATGGTTTATATTTTTGGTTTATATTATGCAATAGCGCTACACCAACATATTTATTCATTTTATGTGCTACCACCCAAATGCTTCCACCTGACAGGTGAGCCCGCTGCTTGCCCGCAGCAGGGATAAGGTAAAAAAAAAACCTCCCTGCCTGGTGCCCGAAACTACATGTCCTGGGTGTCGGGCAATATGAATTTAACATCCGTGCACAGGGGATATTTATATTATATATATAAAAAATAAAGGGACAGTGTAAAAAATATTAAATAAATAAAGAGCCCCCCAATTGTGTTCATGTGCCTGGAAAGTGGAAGCCCTGTTATCAGTTATTCCGCAGATCTGCCTTGTTAACATTTTGTCTGTGCAAGTAGTATTGATTTGGTTAATAAACAGATGTTAGGTTAGCGTGTCTGACTTTCAGTCCCTTGTGATGCAGTTTTCTTGCGGCAATGCAAGTCATATTGGAACTAGGCTTTTCTTGTAAACTAAATGCCAGGAATGACATAATGGCAAGGGTTTTTCTAATTACTACCATTTGTTTATTTGCAAATGATATTGTGAAACATGATTACAACATATATTTTCTTAAAGGTCTGTTTTCCTATTTTATTTATGGCAAAAGGATGGAGTCTGCGTAAAGGAAAGAAAGCCTAAAAAAAAGCTAATGCAACTATCACATCTGAGGGTTAGTAAACTGCAACATGCCGTACACACATATGTAGCCTCTCAACGGGTGGACCTTAATGCCGAGGGGGGGCATATATGCGTACCCAAAGAAAAATGGAACTGTGCCCAGAGCGCACATCGTGTGCGTTCCCGGAGGTTACTGGCGGTGAACAGAAAGCTCCTGATTTCTACTTGCGATTGGGAGGTTTACGATCATGTGATTGGTGTGACAGCTAATTACGGCGGTCACATGATCACAAACCCTGCCCCACCTTCCGGCATCTGAAACCCTTTAAAGGGCCAGGTGGTGCCTATGCCAAGGGGTTAAAGAAAGGCAGCAATTGACAAACACAGCCTCATGTACTGCTTCTTTGTTTAATACCGCTTTAACCGCTTCCAGTCCGGACACTTTTACCCCCTTCCTGCCCAGGCCAATTTTCAGCTTTCAGCGCTGTCACACTTTGAATGACAATTGCACGGTTATGCAACACTGTACCCATATGAATTTGTTAGCATTTTTTTGAAACAGATAAAACTTTATTTTGGTGGTATTTATTCACCACTGGGATTTTTATTTTTTGTGCTATATAAATGAAAACGTCCAAAAATTTTGAAAAAAAGTGTTTTTCTTATAAATGTTTGCAAAGAAATAATCTTTCTTCATAAATCTTGGCCAAAATGTATTCAGTTATCATTTTAGAAAAAAAAATAACCCAAATTAGTTTAAAACCAAAAATGATAATTTTTTAAAATTTTTTTTTACATTTTTATTATTTTTTTTTATATTATTTATATTTTTTTTTAACATACTGTCCCCCTAGCTGTAAAAGCAATCATTTCTCCTTCTCTTTGGCTGCATTCTTGCAACCATTGAGAAATACTGTGAGAGCTGTGATTGGTCACAGCTTGTCACATGGTACAAGGCTGTTGTGAAGTGACATCTTGCTTACTACTATTCATGTGATCACTGATTGGCCAATCAATGATCACATCATCGGGACCTCATACAGAGGGCCCGTACAGCGATCGGTGTTCCGCTGTGTCCGGAGGACACAGCGTGCACCAGATCGCGGTGCCGTGCGCTCCCAGGGAACGCGCACAGGTTGAAAATGCGGGCACCGTTTATGAACGTCAACCCGCTCCTGCACTGCTCCCGTCTGGCCGTTTATATACATGGGCCGGATGGGAAGTGGTTAAGTAAAACTTTGTACAGCATTTACATACATATAGTGAGAATATGTGCCCTTTGACATTGCTTCAAGCCAAACTGTACACATTGTTTTCACATATGATGAAGCGTGGACAGGTCACAAACCTCTTTCAGGTCCTTATTGACATTTGTGCTCCAACTGGAGAAATTCGTTCTGAATTCCTCTTTGGTCATCATGTCATATTTTAAGTCCAGGTGTTATAACCAACTCCTGTCACTTTTTTTTTTTGCTGCTTGAAATTTTCCCTTTTGGAAAACTTCTCTTTAGATCCTTTGTGGTCACCAGAGAAGGAAGTAAAATTAAATATTTCTAGTAGGGACACAAGCAGCAAAATAAATTAGAGATATATTTTAGAAAACCTTTCTACTCTATCCAGAATGTAAAATGACTTTGCCATAGTTGGGCTTTAGGTGCGCCAGGACATCATTTATTGAAAAGAGGCTGCTGTCCTGCCTGGTAAAACTAAAGGCCTGTTCAGTGCAGCAGCAAAGGATCATGAGAAGGTTATACCAAACTTTAACCACTAGCCTACGGGGCACTTATACTCCCTGCCCAGGCCAATTTCCAGCTTTCAGCACTGTCACAATTTGAATGACAATTGCGCGGTCATGCAACACTGTACCTATATGAAAATGTTTTCATTTTTTTTGAGACAGATAGAGCTTTCTTTTGGTGGTATTTAATCACCTCTGGGTTTTTTTATTGTTTGCTAAACAAACCAAAAACCACTGAAAATTTTGAAAAAAAAAAAGTTTTTTCTTAGTTTTTGGTATAAAAATTTGTAAATACGTGATTTTTTTCCTTAACTGATGTGCGCTAATGAGGCTGCAGTGATGGGCACTGATAGGCTGTACTGATGGACACTGATATGTGGCACTGATGGGCACTGATGAGGAGGCACTGGTAGGTGGCACTGATGGGCATTGACAGGCATCACTGATGGGCACTGAAAGGCAGCACTCATACATGGCACTGATAGGCGGCACTGATAGGTGGTACTGATAGCAGCACTGACTGGCACTGATAGGCAGCACAGATGGACACTGATAGGTGGCACTGACCGGCACTGATAGGCGGCACTGATTGGCAGCACTAATAGGTGCCACTGACTGGCACTGATAGGTAACACTGAAAGGCAGCTCAGATGGGCACTGATATGTGGCATTGATGTGCACTGATGGGCACTGAAATGTGCACTGATGTGGCATTGATGGACACTGACAGGTGGCATGGATGAGCACTGACAGCTGGTACTGATGGACACTGACAGGTGGCACTGCTGGGGCTACACTGATCATCAGGGCACACTGATCATCGGTGCCCTGATGATCAGTGTACATGTCCCCTCTGAGTAAAGCCGATTACCGGCTCTCCTCTCCTCTCGAGTTGTCAGAGTGACAGCTCGTGAGGAGAGAAATGCCGATAACCGGCATTTCCCTATTTACATGTGATCAGCTGTGATTGGACACAGCTGATCACATGACCGAGCTGACATCTTCATATGATATCCTCCCAGAACGAGAGAACCGCCTTGCGTCCGTCATTACCTTATATGGCGGGCGGGAGGCTGTTAAAGCGAGTTTACACTTTTGCAGTCAACTGCAAGAGAAAACCCTGCTATATGTTTGTTATGTGTTCTCATTCACACAGCACAAATAAAACCATTTAAAAATGTTTCTTACCTGGGTTCACACTGATGCGGTCCGGAATTCGCAGCGGTTTCTTTGCGAATTCCACACCGCATCAGAATCGCACCCCGTTCATGCGAACTGCTGCGGGTGTGTATGTTAAGTTAACAACACCCTGAAATCAGTCCACAAAACGCGGTGCGATGTGCAGAACTGGATTGCATAGTTGTGAATACTAATACGATCCGATTCTAGTGCGGACCAAAAAAAGGGTCCTGCACCTTTTTAATGCGGGTGTGGTGCAATTTGAGCCATACAAAATGCATGGCTCCAATCAAATCGCACACAAATCGCATGTGATTTGCACAGGAATGCGGTGCGTTTCCTGTGCGAATCACATGCGACATGCCACACTGCATACTGTATATGTGAACCCAGGCTTTAGATGTTTCTAGGGAGAAGGTGTCATGGTTGACTGCAAGGTTTTTTGAACAATGTTAGAGTGAGCCAGTCCCAAGTCTGTCCTCATTAACATGCAATGCAAGAAGTTTAGCCCCTCTCTTAACCCTTTGTTAGGACCAGCAGCATTCAAATCTATATAAATGATGATCTGCCTGCACAGTATAGACAGGTTAAATATGGCAAACACTGTCACCCAGCCCCCTTATAGACAAAGACCAACTTGTAAGAGGAGCATCTAAAAAAGATAAACTGCAGTTTTTATATCTTTTTTTAAGTCATGCTATGTTAATGGGGACATGTAACAAAAATAAAGTAAGTGTTAACTCAGTTTGGCTTCAAAAATGGGTTACACTTTAACCACTTCAAGTCCGGACACTTTGACCCCCTTCCAGTCCAGGCAGATTTTCATATTTCAGTACTATCACACCTTGAATGACAATTGCGTGGTCATGCAACACTGTACCCATATGAAATTTGTAGCATTTTTTGAGACAGTTAAAACTTTATTTTGGTGGTATTTATTCACCACTGGGATTTTAATTTGTTTGCTGTGTAAATTAAAAAGTCCAAAAATTTTGAAAACAAAGTGTTTTTCTTATAAAATTTTGCAAATAAATAATCTTTCTTCATAAATCTTGGCCAAAATGTATTCATCTATCTTTTTAGTTTAAAAAAGATAACCCAAATTAGTTTATAACCAAAAATTATAATTTTTCAAAATGTTTCATTTACATATTTATTGTATTTCTTATATTATTATCTATGTTTTTTTACATACTGTCACCCTAGCAATACAGTGTCACCATAGTGACACTGTACTACTTGTGGGGGGGGGGGGGGGGGGGGGGTGATGAAGATTTTTTTTTTTCTTTTTTCACACTGATTGCTTTTACACCCATAAAAAAATTTTTTTACATTTTTATTATTTTTTTTTATATTATTTATATTTTTTTTAACATACTGTCCCCCTAGCTGTAAAAGCAATAATTTCTCCATCTCTCTGCCTGCATTCCTGCAGCCATTGATAAATACTGTGTGAGTTGTGATTGGTCACAGCTTGTCACATGGTACAAGGCTGTTGTGAATAGCCCTGTACCATGTGACCTCTGTGCTCATTCACAGATTTCACTAGTAGTAAGCAATGATGTTAGGAAGTGACATCTTGTTTACTACTATTCATGTGATCACTGATTGGCCAATCAGTGATCACATGAATCGAGATCTCACACAGAGGTACCGCGATCTGTGCGGAGGACACAGCGGGCACTAGATCGTGGTTCCACACGCTCCCAGGGAGTGCGCACGGGCAGTGGATGCAGGGGGACGTTTAGAAACGTCCACCTGCATCGGCATCTCACCTGTCAGGCCGTTTATCGACATGGGCTGGACGGGAAGAGGTTAAAGGCCGGTTCATATCGGGAACCAATCAAGAACACACTGTGTGTTCCTGTGCAATTCACATGCAGTTATCTGCACTTCCAGACCATTCATTTTAATATGGCTGAAATTACACTGCACCAAATGTAATGCATGTACTAATTTAGTAAAATTACTGCAAACGCATTGCATAGTACTTCTGTACCATGCGTTTTGGTGTGGGCAAACACACTGCGTTTACAACCAGCTTTTGGAGCGTCAATTATTATAGACAAGTGCTGCAGATCACAACTTTAGTGTGTTTTGAACGCTTTGCAGTAGATGCGTATGGAATGCATCCTTCCTGCACCACGTTCTGATGTGACCCTACCCTAACGTAGATGTAAACACTAACTGGATGGCATTTTGTTTAATGTCACAAACAATTTTTTTTTATTATGGCGGACCATGACTGTGCATTGCGTGCCAGCAAAGGCTGCTTGTAGTCTCCCCTAGGGATCCATGTGCCGACAAGACAACACAGGACCACAGTTGGGAGAGATGTCAGCCCATAATTGGAACTGTCTGAACAAGGAGCTTCGTGGGTCATCGAATATTTTATTAAAAAAAAAAAGTTTATGACTTTCAAAGTTACAAAAACTTGTTAAAGCTTATATGTAATTTCAGTGATTGAGTTAGGATCTACTTATATTAAAGGACCTCTTTAATTGAACAGTATGTGGTTAGTACATGTAATGATAGCATTCAGAAGATGAATTTATTCTATCCTATTAAAGCATCAGTGAGTGTGACAGGGACAAACTACACTGCTCAAAAAAATTAAAGGAACACTTTAAAAACACATCAGATCTCAATGGGGAAAAATATCATGCTGGATATCTATACTGATATGTACTGGGTAATGTGTTAGGAATGTTAGGATGCCCCATCATTTGATGGAAATGAAAATTATCAACCTACAGAGGACTGAATTCAAAGACACGCCGAAAATCAAAGTGAAAAAATGATGCAGCAGGCTAATATATTTTGCTGAAATTTCATTGCAGCAACTCAAAATGGTACTCAGTAGTTTGTATGGCTCCCTCATGCTTATATGCATGCCCCACAATGTCAGGGAATGCTCCTAACGAGACAACGGATGGTCCCAAATGAAATATACGTCCTTTTTTTCCCACAAATCGAGCTTTCTTTCAGTGGTATTTGATTGCCTGTGTGTTTTTTTTTTTTTTGCGCTATAAAAAAAAAAAAGACTATTAAACATGCCCAGTAAAAAAATAAAAAAAAAATTAATTTCATCAGAAATTTAGGCCAAAATGTATTCTGCTACATGTCTTTGCTAAAAAAAATCCCAATACGTGTAAATTAATTGGTTTACGTTTTAGCATTTACAATTGGCGGCATAGATACTGGATTTTTTTGCTGTTATTTTTACTGGTAATGGCAGCGATCATTGACTTGTTGCGGGCATTCTGACACTGGGTGGAACTGACTTGGTGTCGCTGACATCCCCAGTGACACCAATACAGTAGTCAGTGCTAACAAAAAGCACTGACACTGTACTAAATGGCACTGGGCAGGAAGGGGTTAACAAGAGAGGCGATCAAAGGGTTAACCGTATGCTGGGAGTGTTTTACATAGGGGGCTGTGTCAGTGTGCTTCACTGTCCACAGCCATCCAAAGCAATGTGCCCGAGCTGACAGGGAGAACTGTTAGTAAACAAAACAGTTCTCCTCTCCATCGGAGACCGTTGGAAATCTTCGGGCGCTGGTGAGTAATCACCGGTCGGGACCTGTTGATTGACAGCCACGGCCACGAATGGCGGTGCCATACCCGGAAATGCAAAATCATGTATATATATATGTGATTTTGTGCACCCGTGCCACCCTGTAGCAGTATTTCTGCTATAGGGCGGTGCAGAAGCGGTTAACCACTTGTAGACCACCTGCCCGCATTTTACTGCAGGAAGGCGGCTCGTACATTCAGTCACATACCTGTGTGTCAGGAGTGGCTTCCAGGTTCAGGGCGCATGCGCCCCCCCCCCTCCGTCCGACTAATCACAGTGAGATTTTGCATTTTGTCAGCAGGTTTCATCCAATGATTCATGGCTTAGACCTGCTGATCAGCTGTGTCCAGCCACAGCCCAGAGCCCTGTGTTGACAAACAACACAGGTCTCTGTACAGAGGGAACAATTTGGGAGAAGGAACAGACAGATATTTAGTAAAAAGCAGCACATAATACACACATTACACATTGTTAGGCACACAGTTAACTCTTTGATCATCCCTAGATGTTAACCCTTTCCCGGCCAATGTCATTAATACAATGACAGTTTATAGTATCATCACTGATCTCTGTATTTGTGTCACTGGTGATGTCAGTGTCAGTTAGTGTACCTCGCAGCCTGCATGAGTTAGTGTCAAACTGCCCACCGCAACAAATACATAAATAAAAATTCCAGTATATATACCGTAGTTTGTAGACGCTATAACTTTCACACAAACCAATCAATAAACACTTATCTGATTTCTTTTTTACCAAAGACACATAGCAGAATACATTTTGTCCTAAAGTTATGAAGATATTTTATTTTAATTTTTTTTATTGGATATGTTCTATAGCAGAAAGTAAAAAAAAAAAATATTTTTAAAAATTTTCGTCCGTTTTTCATTTATATAATAAAAAGTAAAAACCCAGTGGTGATCAAATACCACCAAAAGAAAACGTTATTTGTGTGAAAAAATTATACAAATCTCATTTGGGTTCAGAATTGCATGACTATGCAATTACCAGTGAAAGTAGCGCACTGCTAAATATAAAAACATACTCTGGTCATGAAGGTGGTAAAACCTTCTGGAGCTCAGGTGGTTAAAATATATATAAGAGCCAAACATTTTTTTTTATGGATAAAGTAAGATATGTTTAAAGCCCATTTCAGCTTTCTATGCCTTCTATGTCCCATTTGGGGACAATTTCCTTTATTTAATATTCTGTAGACATACCAGAAAATGAGAGGAAAATTCTGCAACGTG